AGCCTGCATGCATTCTTTCAAAGAAACTACAAGGGGATGTGATATTTTTTGAGAATTTCAGGAAGGGCTTTTAACTTTGAAAGTGCTTATAACAAATCTATGTAATATTACTGCTAATGGAGCACCAAATATGACAGGAAAAAAATATGGATTTCTTGGACTCTTTAATCAAAACTATCCCTGAAACAATGTTGTTTTTCTACATTGTGTTATACATCAAGATGCTCTGTGTAAATCTACATTGAATTTAAATCTCGTTCTTGATGCAGATGTGAAGCTTGTAAATACCGTTCGATCTCATGGGCTTACTCACAGACAGGCAATTTTGAGATTTTCTTCAGTCCATGCAATCTGAATACTCTGATGTACTATATTATTACACGAAAGTAAGGTGGTTTAGTGCAGATGTGTTTGAGAGTGAGTCTGGCAGCTGAAAGATGACATTGTGTCGTTCTTCCATGAGAAATAGTGTTCTGCGGAGTGTGAAATGCTAGAAGATACAGAATGACTTTCGGATTTCATGTTTTTCACACATCTTAGGTCTTTTCACAGACCGAAATTTGACATATGAGCAACTTGAATGTCAAGATGCAAGGGAAAAATCAATTTATTGATGATATCTGGGCCCATCTCAAAGTTTTTGAACTAAAACTTAATCTACTTGCTAGGCAAGTAGCTCAGAACGACTTGTTTCATTTCCCGACGTTAAATTCAATACACTCAGTAAATCAAGAGATGCTAAAGAATTATGAAGGATGGCTTGAAAAAACTGTATTTTGAGTTCAAATGCAGATTTCAAGATTTCAGTGCCATTCAAACAGAATTGGATATTTTTACCATGTCTTTCAACATAAATTGTGAAGCAGTGAGGTCAGATTTGATGCCTGAATTGGTTGCAATGTAACAACCAATTCAGTTATTAATCTAACAATCATCTCAAGCAGTTGTTTCTAAATATGCCAAAGTTAGAGTTTTACAAATCATTATCGAAAGTAAGTTTCCCAAATTTAATATCTCGCGCCCAGAACAGTGATATGTTTGCTTTACCTTACATATGTGAACATGTGTTTCCAACTATGAACCTTGGAAAGAATTATTTCAAAAGCAGACTAACAGATGAGCATTTAGCCTCATTCCTTAGAATCAGTACATTACTTCGAACCTCAATATAAGGAACTTTTAGAAATGAAATCGCAATTTCATTCATTTCATTAACATATTTAAATTGTAATACTTGTATACTGTTTATAAAATTTTCCAAAAATTTATCTTGACCAGCGAAACTTTTTGTTTTTCCCCCCTTTTTTGGCCCCGTGACCGAAAAATTTCCGTCCGGTTAAAACCTCTCAGCGTTAAAGCCGGAAAATTCCATACAGAGGGTTGCCTTCCACATTCATTATACATGAAAATTTCTGCTAGCTTTTAATGTATCTGATTCAGTTGGATGTATATTGGAAGAAAGGAATCAAGGTACAAAATGAAAGAGCCATTTTTTTAAAATTAAAATCAAGAAAATATCACTTATTCACGACATTTTGAGGAACTTTGAAATTTCAAGGCTAAACCCGTAACGCTCAGAGGCTTAAGCCATAGTTTCGCATAAATTTCTAAGAAAACTAAATGTTTTTTATGGTCATCACTTCTAAAGACTAATTTTTTTTTACTCTATTTTCTAAATTTCGAATCATGGAGGACATGCCGCACATCAGGATCAAAAGCAGCAATTTACATTGTCAAACTAGTAACAATGGAGTTTAAGAACAGGAAAGTAAATCTGAACATCTGCATCATGAACATTCTCTTTATCCCAACAACAGTGAGTCTCAAATATGTGGACATAATTGAAAGCTTTTTTTTTGCACTCCACCATCAAGAAATGAAATAGCCTGTTAATTTTCAAGAGCAATAGCTAAATATATTTTTAGAGACCGAATATGACTGGCATCAATCACCTTCAAGAAAAATTGCTCCAGTATTAAGTTCCAAAAGAAAATGCACTGTATTAATAAAACATTAGACTTTTCCAATTGCCAGACACTTGCTTTTCAAGCACTGACTGAGAATGGCTGACAACATCACCAAGAATGTTGCTCAGAATGTAATACAGGAGGTAGAGTGATATTACACTCTCAGGAAGAGAGAAACAACAACAAAACAACCATAATTTTTCTGGAACTTCAACATGGATCCATGGCTGTGGCATACCTACACAATGCCAACAAGATGGCAATCATTATTATTATACCCTAGATGGAAGCATTTTGTTGTCCAATTCTAAAAGATATTATTTTAAGGAAGTTAAAAACACAATGATTAAACTTACATAACTATTATATTTATATAACTATAAAAAAGGCAAAGCTCTTTCATTTCTGAAAGGAAAGGCTTTTCCTTTCTGATGCTATTAAGAATTAAACCCTATATGTTGTTGCATTGCAGTAACCTACACACCCAGCTATCATTAGGAAATTCTTGCACATTCTGCAAGAGCAGGACTAATTTTTCAAGTTTTCCTTTCACAAAAAACCTAGTGACCCTATGATTACGGTGTTAATTGCAATAGTTTGCATTTATATTGACTTTGATAGTTTAAAGTATGCAAATGCATGTGTTCTTATTTTTTAATTTTGAAAAACTAAACCTTAGTTCAAAATATCTTCTAAACAATCAAACAAGCAAAACAAAACAAAAAAAGGGGGGACTAAATTTTTTAATTAAGAAATCTGATTAAAAGCTTTTGTAGATGTTGCCGACAGTCTGTCATAAAGGAAGTAGTCAGAAAAGTACTATGAGACACATAAAGTAAATCAGTCATCTGACTGATTTATTTTATGTTGTTCATATAGTTAAAGGATGTTATCAACCAGAAGACATTTATCAAGTATACAGATTTCATTAGATGAAAATTTTAATAAGCAGAGTGTCTGTGAAATTTCTAGACAAAATTTGCAACACAACTTATTGGTTATTTTCAGCTACTTTACTTATATGATCTAAATGTGAAAAGAAATTGGCCTGAAATCAAGTCAAAACACATAAGAAACCACTGCCTTCTCTGCATACTCATGGTGACACACTCAGCTGAGAAAGGAAAATACACAATTCAAGTCTTGTAAGGGAATACTTGATTTCTCACTAATTCTGCTCCAGAAATGCTTAATGTAAAATTCAGGTGGCAATAAATTACTGTCCACTATAATGTCGTAACTCAAATAATAAAATAGCTGGCTTACTTCAAACTGTTTAAGGAAAGAAAGAGTTTACATGAAAGAAAAAATCAAGTACGTGATTTATATTTGATGACCATTTTAATAAGTATTGGGGCAAATTAACAACATTTATAATGTAAGGTACCCCCTATTCTTTTTTTTTTTTTTTTTTTTTTGTTTCTCATATTATAACCTCTTTTATGCACTTCAATTCATTCAACATTTCATAAAACTGACAATAAAATCATTTTTCAAAGTTCTTTTGATTAGATTATTTGTGATTATTACTTAAAGGTTGTACAGACAGCAATTCCCAAATACTTGCTTTGACCAACTCTTGCATTTTTGTTTGCAGCTCCACAGATAAAATACATGTAAATCCGTTATGCCTTCATGTTTTCGCATATCAAATTTTCAAAATTTGCACAGGGAATGATGATTTATGTCAATCTCAAACAACACCTGTACCACCTCCAGGTCCCATTTTGTAACACATGTTCCATTGTAAAATCTGCTTGTTATAATCCCCTCTACATTTTTGCCACATATTTCTGACCTTCCCTATATATAGATCTACATATACGAAAAATAGGCCAAACGTACACATAGTATACCATCATACATTTAAAATAAATTTTCTCACTTCTTCATAACATAATTCAGTAACTAACATTTCAAAATCTAGTTTTGGGCTCTAATATCTTGAATCCAAATAACTTTTAGCCCATTCAATCTATTTAGATTTACCATCACTTTAAAACAATATTTAATTAATTTTGGTATATAAAAAGTCCTCTCTGCATCTGCAATACTAGCTGGAATCATCTGCGATAACTACAAGACTGTAGAGGAATTTGGACTTTCAGCTGTATGAATTTAAGACTTTCTAAGACTGTAGAATTTTGGTGGCCAGCAGTGTATTTCAGCATAAGGAAAGAAAAATGAATTTACTGCAGCATTCAAGATGGTATTAGAACACTTTTAACTGTAAGCATCTGGTCAGTTAATATCTGCCTAAATGGTTTACAGAAATCCCATTAGAAGTTCATATAAGTAATGTACACCTTGGCATGCAGCATCTGAAAGCTGGGCAGATGTAATGCTATCTGCTACTTAAACACATAAAGACTTGTCTCAAAAAACTTCAAGATAAAAACATCATTATGTGCAGCTAAGCTCCTTTTTCATATTTTCATTTACCATATGTCAAGTCATTTCTGTTTAGTTTTAATTTAAAATGATCCACAGCAAACATTTTCTTGAAAATTTGTTATGGGATATTTATTGCTCAACCAAATGTTCCAAAAATGTTATTTGTTCATCCAATATGGGAAATCAATAGTGCCACCCTATTGTTAACTACAAAAATACTCAAATTATAACATGTCTGAATAACCTAAATAGTACACTTTCCATCACTAAAATTTAACTGCAACAATGAATACAATATTAGAACATAAATCATTAATACATGATATAAAAATTTTGAGTTTCAAAAGAAATCTGAATCAAATTTTAATAATATGATGGGTAAATATTACAAGATCACAGTACTAATTAAGTACACTGAGTTCTAATAAAAACGATATAATGGGACCATCATAAGCATTATGAAATGTATGCACACAAAAAATCCAACATCTAATGTTCATGGATAACAGTACACACAAACAAGGAAAGATACAATTATACCTACACTTTTCAAATGATTTCAGAATCAAGTTAAAAACACAGTAAATAAATGAAAAAGTAAAAAGCAAAATGGGGAAAATTTAACTACATTATACGCACTCTTTTTAATCGGTAAGGTCTCCATCTTCTTTGTAGATGCTCTATCACAGGTTTTAAACGTTTTTGTAAACATACTTTTGTCCGCACTCTGGGATTGTGCGCTAAATTTTGTACATGAAGCCAAGCAGCATTTGTATGTGGCCTAAATTCAACAAAAATGTCTTTTGGCAATTTGTCAGTCTCTGGCTCTTTGGTATCTGTAAAAATTATTGAAGCAGTAAATATTTTATGCAATTAAAAAAATACAGAGCCTTGCACAAATTTTTAGTTACTTGTAACTTTAAGGTCAGATCGCTAATGAAAATTTATACATTCCTTTTTTCTAATTTATAGCATTTATTTAGATAAAAGCATACAGCCACCCATAAATACTTGAAGAAAATTCCAGCTATTACATGCACTAACAAAATGAGACAACATTTATACAAGTTTAATTCTTCTTTAGAATTCAACCACATTTAAACAAAATTTCGATACTTAAAATATCTTATTTTATAAGATTTCCCAGATGCAGAGAGCTGAACCTAAATGAATCTTTTATATTTTTTGTTTTTGACTATCAAAGAGAACAAAAAAAAAAAAAAAAAAAAAGCATATAATTTTAAAAATACAATGCTGGAGTAACATCAAAGAACAACTATAAAAATTTATTGTCTTTATAAGGTATTTTATCCCTCCTTTCTGCATGCCTTCGTGGTGTAATGGTAGCACAGTCAACATGCATTCGAGAGGCCCAGGTTAAAGTCCCAGTGAGGGCATTGCTCATTTTTCATGCCTCCAGCATAAAATACCTGATTACTCAAGAGTGGCACCTGAACTAAAAAGCTGGTGGTTGATAATTCTTAACCACCAGGATTTCACAATTGGGCCCCTAGTCCCCAGTGTTGCCCTTTAAAAGGGGAAGCATTTAAGGTATTTTCTGCCTCCTTTTTGCATGCCTTCATGGTGTAATGGTAGCACACTCAGTGCGTATTTGAGAGGTCCAGGTTCGAGTTCTGACGAGGGCATTGCACATTGTTCATGTACTCCAGTTTCAAAATTCCTAATGACTCTACACCTTTAATGACTTTGCACCTAAAAACATGGAGCTTGCAGAATCTTTGTTGTGCCTGCAAATCTTAAATGTGCAAAATTGCCTATTTCTTTGGGGGGGGGAGATTTAAATAAGAATACAGAAAATGTGGTAAAGTAGAATCCCGCAGACTGAACATGATGTGGACTGAGAGACATTTGAGTTTCCGAACAGTCGAGTTTTACGAATTAAGGTTTTTTTTTTTTTTTTTTTCAGAACTCTTTTAATATTTATATAAGCATTTGTAGCACAATATTGGAGTACAGCATATAATTAAATTAATGTTGATTTTTATGTCGAGTTCTAGCTCAATAGAAGTCATAAAAAGGAACAAATACTGTAAGATAATAAAGTAAATAAACATAGATAAAAAATGAAGAAAAATTATTAGTAGTTCTTGGTAGAAAAATATCATTCGATAGTAGATTGTCTCTCGCACACATCCTGCCATTGTGCAGCTTCATCCTATAGGTGACAAGGTTCCTAGATGTAATGGAGCATGCCTTCAGTCCTTCACAATGAGTTATCGTTTTAGCTTTTCCATTGTCTTCAATCTCTTCATTTTCTGATTCTTCATTTTTATCCACATTGTTTTTCACCAGTGAAACGCTTTTTGCATGTCCTAAAATTTCACAATTTTCATCTTGTTCCATTTATTCTTCAACATTACCAGTAACTTCTTTGAAGCATGGAATTTTTTAAAATAAGTCAACTATTTCACAATTTTCTGTCTCGTCTCTGCTTTTGTGAAATTCATTTCCTGAAAGGTCCAGCAACTTTCTCCAAGAATGAATGAGGCTTATCTGCTCGATTTTACTTCAAGAAAGAGCTATCCATCTAACAACATCCAACATATCTAATTTCTTCAGTTCTTTGATCGTATCACACCCTCCGTCCATGGCTAGGACATGAGATGAAAGAAGTTTACGTCTGTATCTTTTCTTCAGTGACTCCAAAACACCCTGGGCAATTGGCTGACACAATGAAATTACATTGGGGGAGAAACATGGCTCGTATATCTTCGTCTCATAACTGTTCTGCATCAGAATGGGATGAGGCATTGTCTAGAATGAGAGTCACCTTCCTTGGTAGAATTTTTTATTTTAAAAACTTTTCCACCGATAGAACGAACTGTTGATGAAACAAATCATTAAACAGTGTTCTATTCGTCTATGCATTTCATTGATTCCTGAACCAAACAGGAAGATCATAGTTGGTTTTGGTCCCATTAGTGTATTTTTTGTATGTTTTTAAATGCCCCAGTTTATGGCTGCCTGTTGCTTTGCTGTTTACCAAGATCGTGACTCTCTCCTTGCTGCTTTTGTAGCCAGGTGCCTATTTTTCTTCCCTGGAAGCCAGCATTTTTGAAGGTAGCATTAAAAAATTCAGACTGGTCTGATTACAATTATAAATTTGATTTCCAGATATCGTTTAACTGATTGATGCCATACTGCTTTCTCCATCTGCTGAGCCAACTAGCACTAGCAGTAAATCCAGGATCTCCTTCATGAAATTCTTCATAAAATTTTTTGACTTTCTCTTGCAAAATTGGTTCTAAAATGGGTGTTCCCTCTCCTACTTGAACCACAAATAAAGTGCCTCACTCACTTTTTTTGTATTAACCACCTTTCAATACTTTTTCTTTCCTTTAAACTATCTGTACATACTCTTTTCACACACCAAGACTCGATTTTGGCCTTCTTTTCTCATCCCAACAAAGTAGTTTTTCCAACACCTAAATCCATGGTAATTTTGCTTATTCTTTCCCTTCTGTTCATTCTCTTTAAGGCATTTAGTTTCATTTCCATTGTCATGTTAGTTCGTTTTCTTTTCTTTTCGAACAACATTTTCACTTCACAGAATATCAAAAGTTCTCAAAAATATGTTAACACTTATATTCCTGGATGTAGATTGAGGAACGATACCTGCAATGGACTGGTGTGAATTTAGTTTGCAATAAGATGTAGTCACAAAACTTCAGACAAGTCTCTTAACGTTTTGCAACAATAGAAAGGAATGTGAGCCAATGTCCAGCCACTACCTGACTTTCTTCGTATCCTTGAAAGAAGCAAACAGCTTTGCCAAGTATTACAACATACTAATTTAGAAGTCAAACAAAGTTCTTAACTCCTGTCTCTGTTCTCAACATCTGTCTGTCTTTCCAGACAGACTGCAACATGTCTGGTATCATGCATCAAACAATGATCTTAGTTTTAATCTTTTTTGCAAAGCACACGAGGGCTATCTGATTAAAAGGAAAGATGCCTTCATAGAAGACTGTCTAAGGGAAACTGCTTCTTATTTATGGTACACATGGGGAAAACCATGGAAATGACCATGCAGACAGCCCATTTTCCTGTAATCAAACCCACTGTTTAGACTTTACTGCTCGACCACTGATTCGCCAAGCAAAAATGATATTCACCAGTAGAGAGAACTTGGCTCCAGTTTGTGATATTCCAATTACAATGACCTCTGTACAACATTAACTCGGCAGTAGGCTGTGAACAAATCATGAGTTTTCTTGCATACAACCTTTTTTAATGAAGTCTGTCACGCACAGTATATTTGGATAGTAAAATTCCTGTAGCTGAGTACCCTTGCAGTTTAGGCTGACATCAGTTATCAATTTCTCTTAGCAGTTACTGTCAAATAATGGTCGTGAGAGCCTGTTCCAAAACATTTCCGACCTTAACCTGGTTATCTCATACATTACACCATTTCCAGATTCTGGTCATGATGCTTTAGGGTAGTCTTCACAGACTTACGTCTTGCTTCCAATCTCCAGGTCACATGCAATTTCTTACATTCTGTCAAACATATTCTTGATATGGTCTACCTTTTATAAGAGGAAATTTTATCCAGCTCAAATAATCCTTAAAATCACAATTTGAAGCAACCCCTTGGATTCATTTGACAATGTGCTGAAAAGAAGAATTATAAAATTTGCTTATTTCTGTGTAGTGAAAGTGAATCCCATTGGATTACATGATGACAGTGACTCAAACTACCAATCACCTCTTAACAGAATTAACATAAAACATTTTTTTTAAATTGTTCTTAAATTATTTTCTATGACTGTAATTTTCCCACATTTCAGATGTAAAAAATATGCAGTGTACAGTTAAAATTTTCAAACCACAACAAATTTAAGAAATTAACATAGAATGTCCTGAATCATTCTGCCCAGTGAAACTTTTGCAGTCCCAAATTTTTCTGATAAAAATTAACAGGAAACATTTTTTTAATTTCATATTTTACTCCAGTTGATCCTACTTATGAAGTAATATAGATGCTTGTAATACACTTGCACAGAGAAAAAAAAGCTGTTTGTCATGTTGGTATGGAAAACATGATACAATACAGTCAAAAGTCATTAATCCGGACTCGTCTGGACTTCGGCGATTCCGGATTATCGATTTTTACGGATTATAGATCATCAGTTTAAATCTGGTAAAATGGCATGCAGAAATTATAAAATTAAAAATATGAAACCGTAATTTACGAAGTAAAGAACAATTATGATCTAAAGGGTATCAAAATTTACAAAAAAAAAGCTTAATATTTATTTGTTTACTTAATTAAACATTTCTTTCAATGTAAGTTGTTTAAGCTGCTTCGTTTTTTATGTGATAATACATTCTCTTTAATTCTATAAACAGACATAATTTCTTGTTCAGTTACAAAGTTCCGCTATTCAAGTCCTATAATTGCTGTGTCGAGTATACCGACTAATTTGTCAATCAAAATTTTTTCGATTTCAATAACCTCTGTCACTTTCTTCGCTATCGGAAGCGAATTATAATAACGAGGCATTTGATTTAAATCATATCAAAGACAGAGTACATCGAGATGAAATACTACATTGAGTAAGCAATTATAAGCCAAATAAAATAAAAACATCTGCTCTTAAGATAAGGATAGTAGTGCTGACAAATCAACTTCCAATTCATTGCACGCCGCCGCGGCGTTAAAGATAAACAAAGGATATGCCTTTATCGATTTTTTGCAGCAATTCCACTTTTTGTTTAATGGACTCCGAAAGATACTTTCGCTTTGTACATACATATTAGTAAATATATATCGGGAATTCTGTTTGACATAAACGAAAGTTCAAGCTTACTT